CTTTTCAACGAGACTATGCGAGAAAAGAATCATACTAAATCAGATATGATTAATGAAGTTGTAGCTGATCTAAAAAGAGAAACGGGTATAAAGGTTCTCGGATTCAGGGTTATTGAAAATTATTATAATGGAACAACAAAACCTGATACCAAATCCATAGACTCGATAAAGGCTTGGATTGCGTTTAAAACTAAAGAAAAAAATAAAGTCATAGTTAGCAATAATAACAATGATAATAGTGATGACGACGAAGAAATATATTTTAACAATGATAATAAATAGTTTTCACCTGGTAGAGCCAAAGTAAAGGGGCGTATATTCATGGTCTAGGGGCCGTACGTTCTCTCCCTTGCAACTCTACCGTAAAAAATCAACATTATTTATTATTATTCTTGTATCTTATTATCGAAATATATTTTCGCTTGATTAAATCATTAAATAAAATGAATCAGCGAATTCTTTATTTTTTAAAAACATAATATTTGTCAAAAGAATTTGAATATTGTGTATATGTAGTGCAACTATATAAATTATGTATACTTACTATGAATTTCGCTTTTTCAGTTCTATACCAATGTCATGCATGAGCTATCAATTATTACAAATGAGATTTTTACGCCATTAATATTAACATTTCTACGACCATTAAATCTCTATACTGCTACCTTTCTTGCAAATTTGGTACTTGTATCTTTGAAAATATTGCCATATTAATTAGATTTGATTTTATTAGATTGTCGCACACATTAAAAATTTATGTAGTATAACATATATAGTTTAATTAGATGATCACTACTATATCAGACATCAATTTATGTGGCGGTTCAAAAATTATTTTTGGGTTTTCAGAATTTCGATTTGTGCGATTAACCAAATTCGATTAGCTACATTCATTTTTCTATTGTAATGGAAATTCTTGGCGTAAATTCTTTTTTTTTTCTCTCTGCATTTTACTTAATCTGTAGAACTGAAATAAGACGTAGAAAGAAATGAAAACGTTTAAAAGGGCAGTATATCGAAATGACAAATAATTATTCATTGCTTTTATAGTGATTTTGCAATTTTTTACATCGTGTTATATAAAATACTAATTTTATAACAATTATCCATTTTAAAAATGGAAGCTTTCTTGATTACTTATACACCAATTTCCGCTATAACTATTTTTACTGCTTTATATAAGCGTGTTGAAGCTCATGAATGGACAGATAATCGTGAGAAGGAGGTGGCCAATTTTATCGAAGTAGTTGATAAAGTATTAAACACTATTCACATGAATGAAAAAGATAGATTGGACATAATAAGTGGTTTTGGAAGTGGCGAATTTTTAAAACAGCGTGTAAGTCTCAGAAATAACAAATCAAAATTAATTAGATATGATGAATTTATTGGTTTTCTCATGAGGGGAACAAAATATATATTTCGATAATTTTTTGTTCGGACGAGATAGTTTATAAGAGGGCAAACAGATTTCGTCCACCCCTCTTACCGATGTTGATGATGCATAAGGTTGTGTATAAACAGTGAATGCACTTTGTCTTTGTAGTATTAATTCTGTAAGGACGTCGGGAGTAACTGTTTATATACATTAAACGCCATATGCGGATTCTACTGAGGTGTTATCTTTTACAAATGGCCATATTCTTGAAAATACGTGTGAAAAAAGAAAACCAAACTGATCTACGTCCAACATGAACCTAATAAACTATTTTTGAGTTTAACTAACGAATTTTAAATTGCTTTTGTTAGGTCTCGGATGCTTTTGACTATATTCGCTCTTCATTGGAGATGGATGTTTTAGTAAGATTTGGTTATAATATTCTATTTCATTACAAATGAATATTATGTTTAAATATTTACAATTATAGAATGTTGAGGATATCTGGCTAACTGACGCAACTAAAAATCTCGAATCATTGAAGAATGAAGTGCATAAGGTTTGTATTTTAAAATAGATTATATTTTTATTCTTTTTCAATTATCTATTATTAACATTTGTGAATTAGTTGGTATCATCAACGTCTGGGGATGAGAATACTATGTGGAGTGCTGTAAAAAGCGAATTAAATGGAACCGATGTAAAAGATTTGGGTTATGATCACCCATTATGTTCATGTATTTTAGATGATAGTTTTGAACCCTTTACTACGATTCCGGGTTCATTACAGGATGTTTTTAAGGCACCAAGTAGAAAATTCTTAATCCCGACCGATAACACATTAAAGGATATGTGTGAAAAATTTATTCAAAAAGAAAAGGAAAAACGTCTCAACCCTCCTAAAACATTTGGCGATGCACCATTTGGCGAATTTTTAGACGAGCCAGAAAAACTACAGGAATTAACACGCCAAATGTTAGAAGTATTAAGTCGAATTTGGGGGTCGCCAAAATGGAAAGATTACGCAACGACAGGAAGCCCCGATATTAATGAAGGATCATATGTGTGCGAAATTATATCACCTTTAATAAATATTGTAATGAATGACATGCCTGTAGATTTTGATATTTGGGGGTGTGGGGCGATGAAGCAAGCTCGGCTAGTGCGGAACGAAAGGGGTCACGTAAACAAGCGAAACGCCCAGATTACATGATTGTTGCAAAAATAAATAACAAAAGGGTTGAGGCAGGATATCTAGAAACAGGTAGACCAGGATCTTCTATTGATAAACAAGTCCGGGATCATAAAAAATTGGATAGACTAGCAAAGGACTCTATCGATGAAACTCGGATGTCTAAAAACAAAAGAGCATTTGAAAAATTGCCAATGAAAAATATTTTGTCCATTTTCACGATCAATGTTGCTGGTAAAAGGTTGGAAATGCGTTGTATGTCTGGAGAATTGGGTCCTTATAGGAGTTTCTTACTTGATCAAGCGACCATTCCTTTATATATCTCGTTCACAACCACAGAAGATGTATATCATCTTATACATATTTTACTGACTTTTAGAACCGCGATTGCATGCACGATACGTAAAATATTGCATTCCACCGATGACTCTATTTCATTTATGTCACAATCATCGGATATGTCACAATCATTGGATATGTCAATTTCTTCGCAAACTTCAACAGCGTCTACCGTTTCATCGCCACCATCACAAAATAGATCGGCGAAGAAAAAGAAATTAGTTAAATTACCAAAAAAATATTCTTAAGGTAACAAGGATTTTATATTTTTATATTTTGTTAATAAAGAGTCATTTTTATTTGCCATACACATCGAGAATATGAGTCATAGACTCTGAATTTGCCTATTCGAATCAATGTTATTTATCTCTAGATATCTGCATAATTCTACATAATCAAAAATCCCCTTCACGTCTTACGTATTCCTATTTATGACAGTTATGTGATCTTTATCAATTATATGTGTGTACTTATCTCGGTTTTGAAATTGCATATACTGCTTAGGATTGTCAATGAATCTACCTCGAGTTTTTCGTCTGTTATTTTTAGATTTACGAGACATATTAACATATCTATATAAATAAATGACTTCAATTTTTTCTCGAATTGACTTTTATAGTTTCATGTGTCATTAAACCCGTTGCATTTTTGGTTTTACTAAAGGTTTCGCTAAAAGTAATTGTAATTCATAGTCAATATGATCTGCTTTATTATTGATATATAAAAAATGTTGCCAAATAACAACATAAAAACAAAAAAAAATCATATAGCAGTTACATGATATGAAAATAAAAAAAACCCAATTATTTTCTGATAACAGCTCCACAAGTACGTGAATAATATCTTGATCAGGATTCGCGCTGAAATGGTCATAGATCCTGCTATCTTTATTCATATTCATGAGGTAGTCCCCAGTGGTAGGAGAAAATCTACGAAGCTGATAACGAACATCAGTTAATCTATTTGGTAAATTAGCCTGAACTTGAGTTATTATTGCGTTAACATCATCTCTATTAGAAACGTGAATTTTGGAAAAATAAAATGGCCCATTACTAAGTGCATGTTTACATAAGATAAGACAATTAAGATCAATATTAACGTAATTATTCTTATTGTTATTGTTGTTTTTATTGTTATCGTTATTGTTATCGTTATTGTTGTCGTTATTGTTATCGTTATTGTTGTTGTTGTTATCATCCATTTTTCTTTTCCTAAATACAAAGATTTATAATAAGTAGAATTTCGCTTTCCATAAGCCAATGTACAAAGTACACGGCTCTGATAATAAACAATGTATTACCTTTGAAAAAAAAAATCGATAAAATAAAAATGATACCTCACAAACCCGGTTTATTTATATTGTTCCATTTGCTAAACCTGAGAACTTGCCAGAAGAAAAAATTGCATGATTGGTAATTACGTGACCCCAACCATTTTCCAGATCCTTTCTTCACAAGGCAATTCTATTAAGACATAGGCGTCAAGCGCTGAGTATATTTCGTCATCTATGGGGGAAATTAAGCTTTTCAATCTGCCGATCGCTCTTGTAAAATGTAAAATAAGCCAAAACTTGACGATCTCGGAGATGGCGGAGATCTCAAGTCCCATAACATATGAATTTTGATATGAATCAGACTCTACGTAGTATTATTACTGATAAAGAACAATAAACTCTCCTCATTCATATCTTTTTGTGTCTCATTTGCAATTTTTCTTATCGAAAAGTTTTAATATTAATATTAATACTGAAGAGAAATAATTTAGCGGTATCACAAAATAATCTCGTGGAACAAAGATAGAAAATTATATGCTCTGATTATATATTAATATTAATATCAGAATTCGAACATGTTTGTAGTCTAATCCATATACATTACTTTTTGTGTTCTCATGCTAATTTGGCTATTATTAGAAGCTCATAGAACGTGTAAGAGGTCAGTTGATATATTTATGCGATTATATGCAGGGATATCAAAATTGTATTAACTACACATGGTTTAGATTCTGGTTAAAATCATGCGTATTAATGTGTATATATTCCCATATATCAGTATAATAATAACTATAGATTATCTTCTCGTTTTACTAAAAATGATTCAACTAGAATTTACACAAAAAATGAATCGTGATATACATATAGTTATAGTTGATAAAATAATAGGTCTAAACCCTAAATACACAACAAAGTACATAATTGTTAAAACGCACTATAATCACATCGAAATAAGTCTTATAATATAATCACTATAAATTATAATTGATAAATATGTCTGGTTTTGATATTGCAACTATTCTCGATAAGAAAGATAGAACATTACCCAAACCCTTTAACATTCGTCCTGGATATGATATGAAATATGTCGTGTCATATATTGGAAATTATTTTGCTTTTGATGGAAAACGATACGACGAACTCTTCGATAATGAGAGATTATTTGATACTTTATCTATCATAAAACAGAATGAAACACCAGTTCAATGGGCGATACGGGTGAGAGTACCTTTACAGAATTTATTAAATGCTGAAAAATTTAGTGTATATCACCGGTTATGTTTATTCGCATCATTTGGTAAAGGTAAATTTGTCAATTTCAATTATTATAGGCCAAGAATCCACAAAAGTCATATGGCTATTTGTTTTGGTTGCTGGAAACTCATAAAAATCGATGATGTACAGCCTAAAAAAACATTCCATTTTACTAGACAAAGATATGTTGATCGTCTCGTATCTAGTGATTTGATGATCAGTCATTGGGATAATGAATGTGATAAACCAAAGACCGATTTCGGAAAAGCAAGGATTATACAAAGAGCCTGGAGAAATTACAAGAATAGACCTGAGTCATTAGCCACTCAAGTTTGGAACGCTTTAAAAACGGATGATTACCCCAATGATAAGAAGTTTTTAGGCATAACTCCTCAAAAGGTAAATCGTCCTTCTGGTTATGATTATATTGACTATAAGTCTAAACGTTTATCTTGGCATTCTAATAGTCCTAAATTGTGGGCGGAATCCAAGAAGTCACTTTTAACTTACAGACTATATGACTATGTGGTAAATTTATTGCAACAAAATGGATACAGATTAATTGGTGGTAGGTCTTGGTATGTGATGCTACGATGGGTAGAGAATCCTGATCAATATCTTAATAATGGCTGTCGAGACTTTGTCAGAATATAACTATTTTACATATCTATTTATTATATAACTTATTCATATATATCTATTTAAAATAAAACCATCTAAAGTATTCCTTGAGGGCTAGTACTTTATTTCGATACCCCTTGAGGGCTGGTATCATTTTTTTGTACCAGATTCCCATGTAAACTGAAAATAGTTACTTATTATTATTAGATTTTGCAACATCTAGATTTAATGTCATCAAACTAATTTGGCTAAGTTCATAGAACATCTACATCGTGTAAATATGGTCAGTTGATGTCTTGTGTGACTATATGCAGGGAACCCTAAAATTGGATTAACCGCACATGGTTTAGGTTCTTAAAATCATGCATATTAATATATATTTCGATTTTTTTCCATATATTATTGCGAAGCAATGACCCAAAGGGTCAACTATTAGTGTCAAAAATATTTATGGATCTCTTCAGATTTTTGCAAAGATATTAACCTTGCTAGCTCTGCTAATGTATACTCGAAAAAGGTAGATCACGAAAGGTCAAAGACCACGAATCAAATGAATATTACTTTTTTCCAATTAATACTAAAATTCGAATTAGCAGTGATTAGAAATGATTTACTATATTTTAATATTATGATTTACTAAATTTTAGATGCTCTCTTGGGATCATCTGTATATTGACGTACGATTCTGCTAATATCATCTCGACTTCCACTACCTCGGAATAGGGCTAAATGTGAGATATTTTCACGAATAATTTTAGGCGTTTGTGTATATTTCTGGCTTACATATATGGGTGAGACATTTTGATGCCGGCCACTAATGAAGTAAGGAATAATTCGTTCTTGCACTTTTTTGGGTTCGGCACATAGATCCTCAAAAACAATAACTGTACTTCGTTCCGGAGAGAATTTAGTTATATCTGGAATCTTATCTGGTAATTTCCATTTAAATGTAACATCTTCTCGATATGGTTTTGGAGCATTTGCAAAGATCTGATAGCTATTTTGTACAAGTTGCCATTTTGGCTCAAAATGTTTGGCTACTAATCTGAGATCATCATTTCTAATATACCGATCACCTTTTTTTCCATTGAACATGCATTGTAGTTTGTCACCAAGCATGAGATTTATTTCCATGTTAGTTTTTCCGCTATTTGAGCTTCCATTTATAAGCATCCTAAATGGGCAGTCTGGCGAATACTCATTACCCTTCATTCGTTCTGATGACTTTTTAGATGTCTCATTGATAATATATACATATATGGGCATGCCTTTATCTTTCATCTTATTCAAGCTAAGTAATTTTTATTATATCAAAAATATATAGATCAATATTTCGAGTAAGTTTAGAGGGTGAATTTTAATATATGTCATCAGTACTTATCTTACAAATTTATATTTTATCCTGTAAATAACCTTTTTTAAGCAATTCACTTTTGATATAGGGGAATAAGTCAGTAGAGAGGTAAAGTACAATTTAAAATATTATAGAATTAATAGAAAATGCTGGGAAAATTAACTTTAAATGATGCAATACAAATCACAAAAGAGCATAATGGCTTTGTCTATCTACTCAATATATTAATTGTGTAACTCCTTTATTATGGAAATGTAGTAAAGGACATGAATGGTCTGCTTCCTTTAGTAATATCAAGAATCGGAGAATGTGGTGTCGTAAATGTTTAGCATTTACTATTGATGATGCTAGAGAATATGCCAAAAATCATAATGGGTATTGTCTATCTACTCAATATATTAATGGTAAAGTTCCTTTATTGTGGAAATGTGCTAAAGGGCATGAGTGGTCTGTTCCTTTTATAAACATTAAAAATAGTAGAACATGGTGTAATAAATGTAGATCTCTTACTCTTAAAGATGCTATAAAAGTTGGAAAAAAATGAGGTCTGCAATGTCTTTCTGAAGTATATATAAATGTTATGATTCCTTTGCAATGGAAATGTATTAAAGGTCATGAATTTTCTCGAAATCTCAATGATATGAAAAGAAAAAATTCTGGGTGTCCATACTGTCAAAAAAGAACACCGCAGAATATCGAAATTGCTAAAAGAATTGCACTTGCTCGGAATGGCGAATGTCTTTCAACGGAGTATATCAACAATAAAAGTAATTTATTGTGGCGCTGTTCAAAAGGACATGAATGGTATGCATGTTTAAATTCTATAAAAAATCGTAATTCTTGGTGTCAATTGTGTTCAAAGTATAAGCGAGAAAAATTATGTTATAATATTACTTCAAAATATCTTGGACCACCATCAGCAAACCATCGGCCCGATTTCTTAAAAACATCAGAGTATCTAACAGGACTACAACATGATATTCCTTATTATCATTATGGTTTTGCAATTGAAGTGCAAGGTATTCAGCATAAAAAATATCATGAATTCTTCCACCGAGGGAACCCCAATAATTTAGTTAAACAGCAGGAACGGGATCAACTCAAAGAAGAACTCTGTGAAGAAAATTGGATAGTACTAAGATATGTTTGGTATTATGAAGACCCATTTGAGAAAATTCCGACTATCCTTCGAGAACTGGGTCTTATTCCTTAACTATAATTATTCAATATCTGTATTTGGTAGATATCCTTTTTCAATTAATGCAGTTCGAATGTAGGGAAGCAAATCACAATCAAACAGAATACAGATAAGATCTATACCCTCTCTTTTACAAATCTCCCACTTTTTTTGATCACGGTTCCTTTGTGCACCTAGGTCAGCCTCGCCATTGGGGTGAAAGTATTTTGGAACAACACGAAAATGTTGGACACCATGGAATTCGAATGCTAATTTTAGCTCTTCATTATATCCATCTAATTGCATCCCATCTAAAAATGATGGTCTACAGGATGGAAATTTCTTATCCAACAGGTCCTCAAAAATATATCGGCATCTACGTTCTTCTTTGAAATGAGGACAAATAGGACACCATTCAAATTTCTTAGCAATTAGTGGATATTCGAATTGATGTTTACCATTCTGACATGACCAAAGGTATACATTCTGATCATTAATTCGACCAGTTTTAGCTAAAATACTTCCATCACGTTTCTTGGCATATTGTTGAACCCTGTCAAATTCACTACTAGAAACACGAATGAAATGTATCAATCTAGAAGGATGATATTTTCGTATAAAATTGTCAGGTGGATATTCGACTTCTTCAGGATTTTCTATTACTTGGAGTTCTTCTCGCTTGAATAGTCGATGTGGGTTACGTCCCATCAAATGAGCAGTAGATTCAATAGGCTCATCTTTGAGATAGTATAAGACTGGCTGTGGTGGATTCCTTCCAACAATAACCTTTTTAATTTGATAAACACGCAGCGAGAAGTATGGATCAGTTTTCCTATGAACGTGTCCTCCTTTCAACTCACCTGGTTTTAATAAATATCTTACAGTCGTTCCTTTTTGTAATCGCAGTTCATCTTTCCCAATAGGTCTTTTAGGTTTGATAGTTACTTTGGGAATCACTTCCCGCAATGTCATAGCATGGTCAGGGCTCATACCGATTAATTGCGTTTTATTATTATTCATATAGTTGGTAATTTTCCAAAGTATCTTTTTCCAGAAAAATGGCAGAAGGCTTCACTTTTCGATGATATGTTTTCGGGTATGTGATTGGGGTATATAAGTTCAGTAATATTATATAAGAAAAATGGGAGTTATATACCCGTTTCAATATATGTTTTCGGGATATGCTTTCGGGGTAGGTAAGTGCGGTAATATATTATAAGAATTATGGCAGAAACCTACCCATTTAACGATACGTTTTTGGATATATTTTCAGGGTATGTAACATCAGATTTATTCATAGTTATATATTCGCCTTCTCATATATATAGTCGAAGCTAACAACTGCTAACAATTCGGCACTTCGTGTCTCATCCCTCGCAATCGAATTCATCGTAAAAGCCAAAATAAGCATTTTCCTGGAGTGCTACTTATAGGTGACCGTCCACACATGCTGACGATGATCATGAATGTTACATGGCGGAGACTGAAAATGCAGAAATCAGACGCCTTCTTAAATATATACTCCGCCCATCAACCTGCAATCAATACCGATAGCAATTTACGCGATGCATATAATGATAGCAATTACGTGACATACTTGATAGCATAACCAGATAATATAACCCGATAGCATATAGTAATCAATGTGTTAAGAAATTTGGATCACGACACATTATTTTTTTTGGTTATCAAATGACGTGTAAAACACAATCAGATTGTCAAACTCATGACCAACATTATGAAACCAGCCACGATCACCAAACTGGCATACAGATAATTTTATCGAATTTGGGATCCTAAAAAAACACGCAGAAGGGTTAGGCCAGGGCAACATAACCTACCTCAGATATTTTATTACAATGGAAATCGGTCAAGATCGCTAAGCTGTCATATGATATCAAATGACGCATAAAATGCATTTGACCCATCAAACTCGTGATAAAGCCAACTCGGTAGCATAACCTACCTCAGTTATTTTATTGGAATGGAAATCGATTAGAAACATTAAGCCGATATATGAAATTTAATATAAAATTTGACCCATAACTCGAATGACGTGTGTATTGCAAAACTCACGTCACTTGAATTTTGTGAAATACCCATCAATCGAATGACTTGAGTTTTATGATACACCCATCATTCGAATGACTTGAGTTTTGCAATTCACACGTCATACATAACCTAGACTAAGTGGAAATAACATAATTATGTTATTTCCACTACATTAGAAAAACCATTTGGTAATACTAGAGGAAATCCTCGTTTCATTTATTATGTTGGAAGAGTTGATTATTTAGAAAAATGGTTATTGAAAACTAAAAGGGTAGGAGGGGGAGGAGCCAATCAAACCAAGCATAAGTGATATCATTAATGCAAATAACAAATAATGGATTAAATGTCTGATATAATACCATCTTGCTGATGAAAATTTGAAATTGATACAAGCTTCCAATGATGGATTGTCATACATAAATTCATTTCTTTTTTGTCTAAGAATTCTTAAGAATGAACTATGATCAGTTTCATCATTTCTTAAAACATATTTACGTGGCCAAAAAATTAATTTCAATAGTCTTTTGATTAATTTTGTCAAGTGCAATTTTTCATCTTTTATACCATGTGGATATACAAGAAAATCTGGTAATGGAACAATATGAACACTTGTCAATTTTGCCATCTCATTATCATCTTCCATATCCTCCATATACTTGTCAAATTCTGATTTTCTAAAAATTCAGTATTGTGTGATAGGGAAAAACAAAATCGAATACAGTTAATAAAAATAACAATAAAGATTACTTTGATTTCATAATTTAAATTATTTATTTACCTATTAAATAAATTAAAATGGAACAGTGAAGTTTTTTTGGTGACTTTTTGACGTAACCTTGGTTTAGTAGTTAATGGAATAACACCTTCTTTTTTACCTTTCATTAATTCAAGTGTATCAATAAAACATTGATTTATCATAACTTCTTTTGCTCCAAAGCATGGTTTATACAATAATCTTTTGAGGTAGATATCTTAAATAAAACAAAAAAAATAAAAAAATTCCCATCAATCAGTGAATGAATAATTTGCTCCCAAAAAAAGAGTCATCAAAAATACAAACCTAAATTATGATTTAATAACAATGGAATTGCTTTGGCTACAGTAAACATCCATCCAATATTTTCCATTGCATGATTAGAATAATATTCTAATAAAAATCCAACTATAGCAGCATCTTTATGAATTTTTCCTAATAATAAGAGTAATTATTATTATTATTAGAAAAATATATATGTTTAATTATAATAATATATCTTCTAAAATAATTACCTTTAGAATCATTAATTGCTAATTCCAAATCAGTGGTTTTTCTCTGTTTTTGCCATCCATATAAACGTGGTGTATGCAAATAATGTTTATCATTTTTTAAGGCTTGGTTACTATCACCAAATTCATTATCTTTAAATAAGATTTTCTTGATCAAAGAATTATTATGACCTCTAATCAAATTTGCCATAATATCATGACGAATATCATTCAATCTCCATAAACTTGGTGATTTCTTGAAACATCTATAAGCAAGTTTTTCAGTATTATAGAATATATCTTTAAACCTTTGGTAATTCTTTGGACCAATGCATAGATTTTTATGAATATGAAGAAATTCAAGTGCTTCACAAACATCTTTTATTGTGTTTGGATTATTTGGGTAATAAATAAGATGCTGACTAGTATTAGTTGGCAAGTTTAGTGAGTGTAACAAGATTTTCAAAGAAAATTTATTTTTGCCAATTGAAATTGAATTGGATTCAATCTCAAATCCTTTATATCCAAGTGATGACCAAATATATTTCAATACTCTTTTTTTTGTCTCCTTTACTTTTGTATTTTTTATTTGCCAAACCTGAATTGTTGTTTTTCCAATGATAAGTTGGGTTGTTCTCTCATCATTTAGAAATACAGAAATTTTCTTGTACTCTTTCATGTTATTCCAAGGTTCTATATTGTTAACTATTAAAATGTCTTTATTATCTTTTATATTGCTAAAACTTTTATCCAAATTGTAAATCATATGATAATCTTCATTGTCATTACTGTTGTTGATTTGAAGTTGTGACAAATTGTCAAAACAGGTTTGTAACATTTCATTACCTTTCAAAAGGTGAGATATGTCAGGATGATCCAACAAGGAAAGCAAATTACCATCTTCATCTAAAGAATAAATTCTACCAAAACTAGAAGCAAAAAAATCTTTATCGTTTGCATACATTAAACACATTAAATTCAAATCCTTGTCAGTATCAAATTGTTGGTAAAAGTTGTTGGTACCAAAAATATCCCAAATTATAATTTTAATAATAAGTTTTGCTTTATCAACATTTTCTTTGTCATCTTCATTATCTTCATTGCAAGCGTAATCTTGTGCAACAATGAATAATTTTGTGTCATTGTCAATAAATGTTATAAACAAAATTCTAAAAATTTGTGGAAAAATTTTTGTAGTAATCTCTAAACCGTTTTCAACCAAATATAAGGTGATAACATTTAAATTAGAACAATGTGCAATCATATACTCATATTGTGATAAAGAGAATATTGATTTATCAGTATTTGATGATGAAAGTGCTGATGCTTTGATAATTGGAACACGTTTATGTAATGAAATCTCTAGGTCACCAGTGTGCAAATTGTATACATCAACTTTTTGGGCTTGATAATTTTCTGAGAAAAAATAATTCTTATCAACACAACTTTCCAAATATTTTGTACATGGATCATCTTGAAATAGTTTTTTAATATCAAGATAAACAGTTGGAGGAAATAAAAATTCTTTGTATGATTTGTAATCAATGTTGTACCAACTCATGATGGACTTTGGAATTCTATATTGGAATTGTGGATAAATAATTGATTTATATATTCCTGAGGAATTCATCAAGATCAATTCTAATTCAAGAGTTGAATCTGGGTCTTTATCTGAATGTGGTGAAACAACATTATCTAAAAATCTTACAACACCACCAATATTGTCAATAGTTGTTTGAATTTGTTTATTATAGACAGCAGAAAATACCCATGTTCTTGACTCAATCAAGACTCCGTCACCTTTTTCATAATCACTTGTGATAGATGAAGAGGAGAATTTGGTGGTGGGTGAGGATGACTTCATGTCTTTATCTTCAAAACATGAAAGAGCAATTAATATATCAACTTTATTATCATCAAGTTTTATGGCATTTGAGACTGTTAAAGACCACCATAAATCTGTTTGCAAAACTGATGCATTTGCTTCTATTTGAATATTATTATTGATTGGAAAAGCTTCTGTGATGTTTCCTGTCTTGTAATATTTTAATTCAAATTTATCTATGTAATAATAAATACATTAATTATTAATTAATCCTTAAATATATTAATGAAAATAAATTAATCCTTATCAATTTTGATTTTTTTTTACCAGAATTAAAGCTTGCAATGAATTCACCATCATGACTTGTTGCAATGTACTGGGAATCTAGATGGCTGTCAATATAAGGATATTGTTTATTTTTTAAATGTCTTTGTTGTGGCAAACCTCTAGAAGTAGAACTTTGTTGGGAATAAATTGATTCATTTTCTGCTGCATATTTTAAATTTTGAGGGCACAGTTTCGATTTATCTGTTTTGTCTTTAATTAATGACATATCAATCAATTATTTAGTTAATTAATTAATTAATTCCACTCCATGAAAAAAAAATCAAATCAATTGTATTTATAACAATTAATAATGTATAAAATTAAAATTCATCACGGCGTTTGACTAATTTTAATTTTCACCCACATGCCAAAAACAACAATAGCCGGTGTTCCTGTAAACTTTATCATTTAAATAATGATAAAATAAACAAAACCAAATAATGAATTGCACGACCTGATTAACCAATTCTAGGCAAACAGGGTGCAAAGTGCATATTTTAAAAAAAAATTCCTTTTTTAGCCAACTGATTGCAAAAAAAAATCTCTTCTCGATAATCAGTAATGAGAAGCGATTAAATTTTGATTTTCCGGGTTTATTCAAATTATTTATTTTTTTTTACTCGTTATGAATTTGAGTATTCGAATTGCATCGAAGAATGATAATAACATGAATAACGAATGTAATTCGATAATTCGATAATACGAATAAAACGAATGATTCGAAAAATACGATGTATTTGTATTTGGATATTAATTTAAAACTTCACCCATTAAAATAATAACGTTTTCAAAATAGTATTAACTCTTTAATAATACTTTTTTTAATTCTCAACGAATCACTTTTATTTTGCTCTTTTTAATAATAAAGAGGGCCCGATTGATTCAAATAATGGGTTTGGAAATTAATAATAAAGAATCATTTACAAAATACAATTATTTTTTTTTTTTGCAATTAACTTTACAGCAACTATTCCAAACAAATAATCTATTGCAAATACAATTGGTTGCATCTGGAATCTTCGTTGATAATAGAAAAATTTTCTTAAAATAATTCTTTTAAACATAATAAATAGACAAATAATCGGAAATTGTGTATATTACTATTAGTCTTATTTATACAATGAATACTTTCACATTAATGATTTAGGTATTTACCTATCTAAAATTACTAAATATTGGCAGACTTGTCTTGGAAGCCATTATCTTCGATCGTAAAACGACCATGGTGGATGAAGCAAATATTTAATCGAAAATTATGTTTCGTTTTAACTATGCATGTCGATATTAATATACAATGAATGGTATTAACCATTAGGCTTTCATATTGCTTTGAAATTTTAAATGACCAAAAAGCTGACAAGCTTGTCTTAGGTGGCTTTGAAGACATTAATTGTGGACGAAACAAATATTCTTAGATTCTAATATGTTCAAAAACTGTGAATAGTGATTGTATATGACCACATTTTGAAACAGCTAATGTGGTAATCAATAGTAAAATTCATTAAAAAAGAAAAATAATTTGTTAAAGTCAATGTCGATGTAAATACATAATCAGTTATCGATAAACTCCTGTTCTATATTGTGAAGACCTGAAATGAAAAAGGATTATGACATCACCGTTGAAAAGCGATCCAAAGAATCTCTATAACATGGATCAAGAATCTAGAGAAAAAATCAATAATGAGGACAAAGATTCTTTTTTGAATATATATACACTAATTAATGATACTTGATGAATTCGCCCGATTATCTGTCTATTTATTATGTTTAAAAGAATTATTTTCAGAAAATTTTTCTATTATTAACGAGATTCCAGATGCAGCCAATTGTATTTGCGATTGATTATTTGTATAAAATTCGAATTTCAAACTATATTTAAAATTATCAAATATATATAGAAAAAGAACACCTTCTGGAAACCTATATATGCTTATTTGATATTTCAAATTCAAATTCTCATTTCTTTGATGACTACAAAAAACATCAACTTATCTAGACAGAATAATGAAAATACTTTTTCATGATCCAGATAAAGGCATTAGTACAATGGCCTGAATTAAGTGAAAAAAACGAGTTAAGAAAATTAACTGCAACCTGACTAACTTCGTAGTTTCTATAATATATAATCGACAAAAAATCAAAAAATCAATTCAGTGATTTAGTAAATTTATTACATTTTGAAAGAAATAATGTTTTCAAGTGATTTGGTTCGGTTAAGTTTTTTATGAAGGATTGTATGATATTGGATGATTAAAAATGAAAAACAAACCAACTGTAATTTATTTGTGGCAATATTACAAACTGGCTTTGTTGTTAATAAAAGAAGCAAATAATTGGTTATTATGGATGATTATAATAATTTCAGACTTTTCATAATTAATATAACAGATTCCTTAGAAATCAATCAAAGAAACCTTATTATTCATCTTCTTGAGAAATGGCCATTAAAGCTAGAAAAACTACCTTTAGATAATTTGAAACATCAACAGTAAAAACTGACACATTTACTAAAACATGTCTCCGTTCCTCATCAAATAGTTCTGGTGACGTTCCATTAATTTGCCTACTTTAAAAAAAATGCAATAATTTGATTTAATAAAAATTAACATTATTAATATAAATAAAAGATTCTTCCTAGTCTCTATCAACATCGTTCATAGTTAAAGATAGATATGAAAGACAAGCAGGCCGTGACAGTTTCTTTTTCAATTGTTATAATAGCAATAATGATTAATGATTAATGTGATTTTTTTACTTTTGAGTTTTTTTTTTGAATCTTCAAAAAAAAACATCAGACCAAAAAATTTTCCAAATAAAAATAAAAATATTTTTTTGTAATCAATGTCTTTACTTCACCTCAAAAAATAAACTCATCTTTTTTTCACCTGTCCTTTTCAAGACTTGCCCACGAATAATAGAAAGAACAATGAGATGGGTGATAATGGCACAGCGACCCATCCTTTTTTCACCTATTCTTTTCGAGGATTGCTTAATGAATTATAGAAAGAGATTGGTTGTTGTTCCTTGACCACGCCACGCCCATCCTATGTTAGTTACCCGTCCTTTTTTATATTATTTTGCAGAACACCCGTACCATCATCATCTATATTAATGGGCCAAATTTGAAAGAGACGGGGACGGGAAAATGTGGCCTGAACCCGTCCCCTGTCCTTTTCCAGATCCCTTAAAGGGGTTTTTATAGTACAAATAGTTCACTTTTTTTAGTTTTGTGCAATATGCCATATTATAAAACTAAGATAAACCATAATGGGAAATTATTAGATATCGTTCCTAAACATTGACTTCTTTGAACCTCATTAATAATGTTGGTATTGTTTGTGTGATGATTCTATTAAAAGTGATCCCATTTGTTGCATTAACATTTCCATCCATTGTTTGATATGAATAATAAAACTGAATTGAAAATTACATCATGACTTTTACGAATTCTAAAAAAAGTTGTAGTATTTAAAATGTTATCTGTAGAAAAACAGAAGTTGGTTATTACTCTCTGAATGTCTTTTGATAGTTGACTGCAAGTGAAATTTTCTTATTTTTTGATGGTGATAATTTTTTCTTTTCATCCAAAATTGTTCTAATATATGATGGTGTGAATTAAAGTGTGACCTTTCCCTCGAATTTAATAAAGCCAAGAACCTTTTTAGTTCAAATCCATGATGATACTTTTAAAAAAAAGTACAGTCACATTCAATTCATCAATAAATATGGATCCTTCTTTTAAAAAAAATTCATAAAGAAATTCTTCTGGGATGCTTTATGAATTATGTAATGTTTTAATTTCAATCACGATCACCTACTTTTCAATCTATTGAGGAAGATAATAAATATCCTGTTGCTTTTAGATGTGTACTTTTTATTCATTTCATTGCCGCTAGTCCATTCTCGAGTCAATGACACAAAATTTATACCAGTGTTATATCTATTACAAGTTGAACATTTGTCAAAGTATTTGTCTCTACTGTTTAACATTTGAACAATTTTTCATTTTTTTATATCTAAATATAGCAAGTAATGTTGGGTCAACAACAGTAGGATCTAGTCAAAAAAGTCGTGTAGTATTGTAAATCATTCATTTAGAAGTTCATTGAATGATCACCTGATAAATAAAAAAAATTTTTGAAGAAATAAAATAAGATTACACATATCATCATGGACCATTTTATTTTTCGTCCAAAAAATTACACGAGTAGATTAAAATTATATACAAATATATGTACTTTTAAGTATATATAAAAATGTGTATTGGATGTATATTAGATATATATATATATATAATTTTAGTTTTCTAAATGTTGCCGTTATCATTATTAATTGTTTGTTGATTAATCGATTAGAAAAAACCTCCCAAAAAATATTCTATATATAAAAAAAAAAAAAAACCAAAATATCTCACTTCCTTTTAGAGCAATAAACCAATTACGCCAATAGCAGCCATTGCAACAGCCACCACAATATTTCCATTAAATTTATAACCAACATTTGCTTTACTGCTAATAGGAGTTGGAGTTACTACATCTGTGGATGATGATTTTGATGTTGATGATGGTGGTGGTGGTGGTGGTGGTGGTGATGTTGATGTTGGTGCAGCTAAGGCGCTGGTGTTTGATGAAGGAGCAGTAGGGGCATCATCAGCTGGTATTTTCCCAGCGCCAATCACTATAGTACCAAACATACCATCTATACAATCTGTACCTTGATTACTAAAATAATATAATTTACCACTTCCTGGTTCAGTAATTGTAATTTGAAAAGTTTTCCCAGCTTCATTTAAGATTGGTGAAGGAGTAACTGCATGTTTACGGAGAAAAAAAAAATTAGAGAAACTCATGTGAAGAAAAATGATATATTAAAATATATAAATATTATTATAACAATTAAAGTTTGAAAACTTACAAGCTGTTGTTGATATAGATTTTTGACAACTTTTTGGTGTATCAGATTGAACAACGGTATGTACACCGCTTACCCATTCCCATAAAACCTAATTGAATAAAATTATAAAAAAAATTAGCATAAGCTTTTGCAAGTACATAAAATTTAAATAATAAATAGACATACAATATCTTGTAAGTTAACATTAACAGTTGGAGGGTCATAAACAGATTTTCCTTCTGGAGAACCAACTTTAATATTGTAAGTTTCGGAAGAACAATATGTAGCGATTAACACGACGATTAAAGTAACAACTATCAATAATTTGGTCATATTTTTCTTTTAAAATATTCTTTATTTTCTTGTTTTAAATAAATAAATTAATAAAATGGATTTATATAAATGAATCTTTCTTTGATAGTTTTTGTTCTTTTTTATTTTTTACTATTTATAAAAAAAAATTTTTTTATTTCCACTATGGAATAAATTTATTTATACATTTTTATTACTATTTTCATCATCAGGAATGATATTAATATAAATATAAAAATAAAATGAATTACAATTTTTGATCGCCAGCTCAGTTAGCCATGTTAAGATGTCTCGATAACATTAGGCCAAGTTTGTTTCTTGAATCTTCACAAAAACAATTTATTCGTTAAACATTTAAAATTTACAATATTTTCTAAAATTGTAACAAACATTCCTCTTATAATCAATCTATCAGCCAAAAATAACAATAATAATAATAGTAATTAGTATTGTGCAACAGCTCACGATTTTATTGCAAATCCTGCCTGGCATGGTAAAAGCTCAAGTGGTTGCCGATGGACCCTTCCTTTCATGAATTTAAATTGTTGAAGATCAAGAGAACGGGAAATTTCAACCTATTATTATTCATATGGATCACAAGCGCCAAGAGTTATTGTAAATTAGTGACATCACTGTCCGACACTAACAACTAATTTAAGACTGGCCGCAAGTACTGATTTTTATTTCTTTTACTGTCCCTTTTTATTGGTTATAATTTTTCTTTCTTGTAAATAAATTTCTCTTGGGTAATCTTCAATCAGTAATAAGGTTATTAAATGTAATGCTGTATATATTCATGTACATGAAAATTAAATTAGCCAATCAAAAGGAATTTTGCACCCCTTCATATTTAAAATAGAGAAAGGTGATTCCTCCTCAAACAAAAAAAAATAATAATAAAATATTATGACCAATCAAATGCTGAAATAGGAATAGTTGTGACTTAAGTAGAAGTGGAGATAGTAAATATGTCCAAGTTGGTGCATATATTATTCAATAGGGGAGATTACTGAAATGAGTAAACTAATGTTAATACTGATCGATGGGGGACTTCTTCTGGAAAACTTTTTTTACTCTAATGTATTTACAAATATTTCCACTGATGATTTCATCAAAGAAGAAGTACTAAGAGATAAACTTGATATATTTCTGAAAAAGAGAAGTTGTTGGTTATCCTAAAGTTGAGAGAGAGATACAAGGATGTGTGACTACTATGCTAATTTTTCATCTGATCCAAAAGGACCATCAGATTTTATACTAGTTGAAGGGTTCATGCTTTACAATTTGAAAATGTTAGGAAGTTCTCTGACTCAAAAGTGTGATTAGATGTTGATAATGATGATTCAAGGCTAGTTGGAAAATTTATAGGAATAAAAAAGTAGATTAGCCATTCATGAATAGAAAATAAATTAGATTTTGTTATTATGAATAAACCAAAATTTACTTTGCCTGTGCCGACTTAATTATTGGCAATAACTCGAAAATAAATTTTCTATGTTAATTTATATTTTGAAAATGAACAAGGATTTAAAAAAGCAATTATGAGAAAACAGTTTACCATCAAAAAATCGGAATAGAAGACCTTATCAACAAAGTAAAGACAAATCTGAAGAGAAAGAAGAGAATAAGCCAAATTCTTATTGAATTTATCGAACATGCTGCTCCAATTATTTTATATGAAGTCTATTGAATAATTAAAACATTCACCATGTTCACATATAAAACTTGTCACGTGGGGAAATCAATTTATCCAAAAATATTTATTTACAGATCCCTAATTCTCATCTGATGTATACCACTTAAGTGAAGGAGTAAGTTTCAAACTTTCATTCGATGCTATTTTTACAAAAAATACAGTTTAAACACGCAGTTTTTCTATTCCTACTGCCAGTTACACGAATCAGTTCTTTTATAGTAAGTGGACATGGTCTACTTTCCTTTAATAAATTTTAACAAATAATAATACATTCAATTAATTATAAGAAATGCTTTTCGGTGTTATTTATTTCTTTATTTAAGGGTAAAATATAAGATAGATACATATGAAATGAGTATAAAAGATAATTAAGAAGATAATTAATTGTTAGAAGTGTAGGATCACGAAAGACCAAGATTAAGACGAAGAACTTTCAAAGAGAGAGCTATTTGAATAGTTTTGATGTACTCGATACTCAGAATGAGACTTATTGAGTTATCTTTCTTTGATTAATAAATTTAAGTTTCTATTTAGAGGGGTTGGTTCTAAAACTCTATCTTAATTTCTAGTTAAAGGGATTTTTCTTAAGGCACAGGTCGAAATCTCTTATTATTATTATATACAAGTTGTTCATTCATATGATCAATTATTTGATTATCTGGTTAATAATAACGAATAGTAAATAAAAAAAATAATAAAATAAACAAAACTTTCTTCAACTGTAGGAAATCGAGTGCCAGGAACTTTGGAAAATTTGTCCTCAAGCTATTGGTATAATTTAAAATTATAATTAATTTAGAATCATAACATTTATCATTATTATTTATCATTATCGTTATATATAATATGATGATAATTTACTTCTTCTGCTTGAATTCTTTCTTCGACTGTAGGAAATCGAATGCCAGGAACATTGGGAAGTTTTTCTTCAGGCTATTAGTATAATTTAAAAATTATAATTAATTACAATAATTGACATTTATCGTTATCATTATCATACGATGGTAATTTACTTCTTCTGCTTGAACTCTATTCGATCCTTTCAAAGCCTCATTTTCATTTTCATCTTCATCTGTTATTTTCCCGTTTAACGACTCTTCAATTTCCTGAAAATCATCAATATTGTATTAATTAATCCCATTTATATAAACAATCTTTTTCATTAATTCAAGTACAAACAAACATATATTAACGTAAATACCTTTTGATATGATATAGCATCTGCAGTTTCTTTCATTAATTTTTCTACTTTTTCAATTGAAATTCCTTTATTAATTTCTTTTATGACTAATGCAAATTCTATAGATTGTGTCTTTCAATTGTATAATTATATAATTATATAAGATTTAATTCCGATGTTTTAATTCAACTCGTGAATAATAATAATTTATCAATTAAATGCTTATATCATAAATACAAACCAATACTTCCAAATGAAATAATTTTGCATCAATTTTCTTTAATAATTGTTGTTGATATTTTCTCTTTCTTAAAGCTAATAAAGCTGCTTGTTTATTTCCTTGACTTAATGCTGTCTTTGCTATTTTAGTTTCCTTATCTGCAACTAATTCAATCTAATCGACAATAAATAGTTTATATTGAAAACTAATCAATTATACAAAAAGGATATATAATTATAATTACACTTTTTGATCATGTTATCGTTTACCTTTTTCTGATATTTTTTTAATATGTCTTGTCGAACTTTTAAATCAAGAATAGCACGATCTTGCGCCGTTATCTTGCTACTTTTGTTACCCATATTATAACTATTTATGCGTCAACTCAAATTTCATGAATTTGGAAAAACCATGTTAGTGTAACGCCCAAGTTAAAAAATAGAATTTGCCAGTTGAAAACCGGTTTTAATAATATTAGTCGTGTGACATTTCCCTGAGGCTGCTTTTCTATATGTGAAAATAAATTCGAAATTCGTGTCACATGAAGTTTTT